GGTCTTTCAAAAAGAAACAATCTAAATGCCAAACTTCAGCCTTCGGTTGGTTTAGTGAACTCAGTATCAACCAGACAAAAAACCAAATACTTTGTGATGAATCTTTTTTCACCTTTCAAAGTGTTCACAGTGTCATTACATATGCTGTGTAAAGTGTGTGAGTACAAGTTCTGTCCTATTTGGGATGATTTAGTTGCATCATCCTTAAAGTCCTTTCTATCAATAAATTTTAAGATTTATAAGCCCAATTTTAATATCCAATCTCATATTTCAATCTTTAATTAGAAAATGGGCATTTGAAATTTAAAGTTGAATGTTGGGAGCTATCCTAACCTTTTAATGTAAACACTTACAGTTGTACTTTACAAAAATATCTCTCTAGGAAAGAACTTTGAAGACATCCCTCTTTTATATCTTGTCACACAATTAGCTACTTCTAGAATTCTCTACTCCAACAGAGCCTAAGTAGCTGATATTCAGTTTACTTGTGACAGATATACTTTCCTATATATTTCATTTTAAAGAAAGTTGTATTATTACTCAAGTTAAAGTATGTTGACATGAAAAGAAAACTGAATTACAACTTTCACTCTGATTTCTTTGTGATCAATGCCAAAAGTAATGGGGGAAATTTAAGTACTGTATTTTAAAATCATACATATTTTCTGGGTCCATAGTAAGGTAAAAACAGTTTAATAATTTAACAGTTGTTCTTTTAAATTGTGATTTCTTCAAGTATTTGGTCCACCAAAAAAGGTTTTTTTGTCCCCCAAATATCTTAAAGAATGAATTTAACAGCATATTTGAAACTTGGAGGCTTTAATATAATGGAAAACACACACGGCAATTAATAGTGTTAGCATTATCCATTTTCCCGATACTCAATAATCTCTCTGTAATAGCAAGTCTAATCCAGATTTAAAGATTTCATTTTATTTAAGCATTTTTTCCTTACGCAAACTGGTAAACATGGTATCAAATATACCTTGTGTTCTTGTTTTGTCATTCACCTAATGGTTTACTTATGTCTCAAATTTTCTGGTTGTAACTTCTTATTTCAGAATCTATGATAGCGGAGATTGTTCTCCTTAGCATACATGTGTTCAAATTGATCTCTGACCACTTAAAAAAAGTTTGCCAAATATCCTGAATTTATAAAAAAAGGAATTTAATTTACAAAATAGACTTTACAGAAAAGTGGATTTTTAAAAAAATATCACCCAACATAAGAGAGGCTGAACTCTTTTTTGGATAAAACTTCCTATTTCCAGAAAATTGCAAAGTCCCAGCAATTCCAAATGGAGTCAAGGTGAAATTAGCATTGACATTTCAAACCAGATTAGAAATGGAGACATATTCCACCAATGCTTGAAACAGAAAGATAAAATGTACATACATTTGATAAGAAGGTCAAGGCTTATGTGTTTACATGTTAATGGACACAATACAATTTCTGAAAGACAATGTTTGTTCAGGTTTTTTTTTTCCTGTGTGAGACTATCTTAAAACGGCACTGTATCATCAGTATAAAAATTCTAACTTTCTAGATTTTAATGCTTTCATTTAATTTTTTTGTAAGAACTACTGATCATTTTCCCCAAACTATAAGCTGAAATGGTACATTTTTTTTCTCTGCAGGAATCCATGACTCAATGTGTATAATCATTAGGCTATAGAAAAACAAGAAAATTGCTAGAAAGGGCATTAAGTTGCAAAGTATTATGTTATGATGAAATATGGCTGACAACTAAAAACCAAGATGTAGAGATGTAGCAAGGCAAGAAGTTCACATCTAGATTCAAGAGATTAGAAATGCAAAATAAATTCTAGCACTAACCAAAGACAAAGCTCAATTACTAAATTCTCATCAGAAGACGAAAGTTATAAGAAATCGAGATGTAAAAAAGAAAGCAATATACCAAAATTTGAACAGAGAACATGAAAATGTTCTGCAGCAGTAGGTGGGGCTCTTGTGGCCATTTGGATAGTTGTCACTTTACCATAGCCTTTCCTTAATCAAACAAACAAACATACAAACAAAATTAACCCTCTGTTCTCCAGCTTTCTAGAGGGACAGTCTTCCCTCCTTCTGTCACTTTTGATCTGCAGACCCTGCCCATGGTTCTTGCACTGCCTTGTGCCATATTTTTAAGGTGGCTTCAGGTCTCTAGATGCAGTACACAGTACAAACACACATTCTGGATCCTGGCAAGATGTCGGGCCAGGCTTATGTTTTCTCTCTCCACAGAAGCAACAGAGTTATCAAAACAGAGCCAAGCAATCCCATCACTCTCCTGATAGCCAGTGAAGATCCAGCCTAATTATGGCAAAAGAAGTCCAGCCTCTGTCCCACAGTGGTGTCCCAAATACTATCTGACTACAGAATGTCACAGTGTAAAATTCTTCTGTCTTATCTTATGGAAGAGAGAGGGCCCATTTCAAAAAAAGGAGAAAAAAGAGAGAGTGAGTTGACACAACAGACAGTGACAGATGTATTACTATTTATCATAGTAAATATGTACTGAAGAAAACATATAAATGTCTTTAAATGTCTTTATCTAGTCATATTCACTCCAAAAGAAACCTCTTACTATCCTCAATCTTTTATTATCTGTTATACAAATGCTCATAACATACTGAAACAAGTTGTAGAAGTAGCTCTTATCGGATAATACTCAATTTTATTTGAATTTTTTTAAAAGAATAAGCATGGCAAAGGTTTAAAAATATGAAATATACATTTCCTGGAGCAATAGTGTTATATTGTCTAGTACAGAATGTTTCTTGGAATCAAGTTTGAGTACATTTTATGTGATGGTAAGCCATGAGGTCTTGTTATTAAGTAATAAGCAATCAATATATACAACAAAGTTAATATAAACCGAGATGACCCCTATTCAAACAGAACTATTTTTAAAGTACCAAGTAAATAGGTGATTGGATTTTAAAAGCAGCCAAACTATCTTATTCTTCCTACTCAGAAAAAAAAAAGATAAAATTCCCTCTTTAATTGAATTTCCTTCCTTTATCTTTCAAACAAGGACTATTTACCAAAATATTCCTTAAAGAGCATTAAAACATCTAGCCAAGAAAATTCTGTATGCAGAGTTAATCTTAAACTGACCATCAAGAGCCAAAAATTAGATAATACAAACTAAATTTCCAATTACTGACTTATTAGAAAGAAAGAAAAAACACACTTGTTTTTCTGAGCATATTACAATAGACCAGCAACACATAAATTGTCTTAATAGCAAAGAAAAAACCGTACTGGTAAAATTTTCTTTATGGGGCAGTTAGTTACAGAGAAATACTTAAAAATTCACAATGAATTAAGAAAAATTATTGACCGTGCTTTTAATATCTGATGTCATACCAATGTACTCCTTAGAAACTGTATATTTCTGCATCATTTCAGCAATAAAAAACAGACTAGGCTAATTTTAACATGTGGCATAAATAGGATACAATAGCTTGTTTTTGTAGCTTTTAGAGCACAAAGTTATTCTGTTGTTTTAGAACATTTAGAGGTGCATTTAATGTACTTAATATTGTCCTTATTAAGTTCAGGTATGTTTACAAGGTAAACAGCTGTAAGGGTGTCATCATTTGAAGTGTCATGAAAGCTAGTAAAAGCTAAAATTTCATCTACATTAAATCTACCACTATGTTGAAGCTTCAAATATGGTTATAAAAACCTTTGACAGTATTAAATCAATTTCAGTACATAGAGACATTCAAGGAATAGCAACTTGCTTATTGGTAGTGTAAAATGACTTTTATACACCATTGGCAGTTTTACTGACACAATATTTTTCCATATTTATGGATAATTGTGTGATGCTTCTGCAATATTATCAAGTCTGTGATAATCAACATATAAAATTCATGGTTTTCTCTGATAAGACTTATCCCACTATATTCATTTAATAATTTTTTGGATGAGCTGAATGGAAATCAAGTCAAATACACAGGTGTTTGGGTTAATCTAATCTTAGCACATTTGCAAACCCCATTATTGTTTGAATTTATTAAAAATGAATAAAATTAATATGTAAGCATTGATTGGTAATATATTTTCAGAAATCTAAGTATAATTTTATAGTAAAGTATAAGTATTCATCGGGCCCTGTACGTAGCCACATTTTTCAAATATAAGCACTCTACAAAATTAAGACTCTGTACACATATATCACTGGATGGAAGAATGAGGAGAAAAAGGAGGAAGGAAAGAGGGACAAGAAAAGAAGAAATATTTTTATTTTACATAAGGAAAAAATTACTAGCAATAGATCGGTTCTGAACAAAATTAAATAAACATCTAAGATCCCAAATATGAAAACACATAAGAATTCAAATTAAGAGATCATGTATTTAGTGTGATTACAACCAATTTTTGCTGTGCTGGGGCCTGGAGACCCTGAGCAACTTCTGCACACAACTCTAGCTAATAAGACGACCCAGAATGCTTTGGTTACAGCTGGATTCTTTGCAGTCGTCACCTGGTATGACAGACATGAACAGCTACTGATGCAGCTACCTTTGCAGCCTTCACTCAGCAACCTCTCTAGAAAATAGAGACATTCTCCCTGCACCCTGGGCTGAAACCCATGTAAATTTTTCCTAAATCCGCTCCACAAATCTCCTTTCGCATGCAAATCCATAAATCATCATAATACTGACAAAGAATTTAACCAACACATGAAACTAATACTCATTCTCTTGAAAGCCCTGTACAGGTAAAACTCCTTGAACTTCAGGCACCTTTTCAAGGCTCTCTTCAGCGCTTAACCTGAGGAATATCAACATAAACCACCCAGTCTTCCAGGCCATGCAATTAATCATTTCAACGTGGGTCAGGTGGCTGGACGTTCAGGTCATTCCCACCTCTCCCACATTCTAGATAAACACGCTGCTCTGGGTGCAGGGAATCTCATTTACTTCTATCTCCTTCATACCAATAAAAAATAAAACAAAAAGCAGAAACAAGCAGTACTTACTGAAGATGGCAAACCTGGAGGAACTTTTCGAACTTTCTTTGTCTGTACCTCTGAAAGAAAATGAAGATGCTGTGAGGTTTCACATGCCCACTTTCCAAACTAAAACATATTAAACCAGCAAGCCGTTGAGATTAGACCAGATTTCCTTACATCATTACCACAGCACATTGCAGCTAGCACTACCACCTTTTATTCTAAGACAAATCAAATTCTATTTTGTTCATAAAAATAAAGACACTCTGTTTAACTTGTCATTGCTTTGAGTTTTTTTTTTTTTAAAGGTTCCTTATGTGTGTACCCAAAAGAAATCCAGAAATAAGCAGACACCAAGCAAGTTTTACTGCTACTGTAAGTTATTAACATTTCCACTAAGTGGAGTCCTGGAGGATTGGGTGTCACCAGTCTGAAAACTGAGCCAAACTTAGGGGAGCGGGGGGGCTGTGGACATAGGGTGAGAGGGTGGTATTTTTTAATGAAAAGGAAAAAAAATTAATAATGAACACCGAAGCATTGAAACAGAGGAAGACCTTACCCATGGCGCTACTGTGAAGAGGCCTCCGTCGGGGGTTATTGCTAGAATACTGATAGTACTGGGAGCCAGGTTTGGTGGGCGAAAGGGTTCCTGGATTGCCCATATCCATGTCCCCTCCAAGGAGACTCTGCTAAAAAGTTAAAAAGAAAAAAATAAACATATACGGTTACTTTGTTACATTCACCACCCCCTAATTGATTGTCAGTACTTTTAAAAAACCAATGCAATGGAGAAAACAGCATCTGCTAAACTGACATAACAAAACAACACCCCCCCCAAAAGAAAAGCAGCCTAAGAAGCAATTTTCAAGGTGGTGAATTTTTAATTCTTTACTTTTGAGAGGAAGGTAGATGATTCTCTTTAAACCATTCATTTTTTTCATCTTTTAAGATGACTAACATTTTAATCTCTTAAGAAAATGGCATTCCTATAAGAGGAATGTTTTCTTTCTTTCAACTTAGGCTCCTATCTGGGAACTACTCATGCCCTTCCTTTACAAGGACCAACAAGAATCTCATTTTTTGAGCACACACAACTTCCCCCGGCTGTGCACTGGGAGTGAGGGTGAAAGATCCCCTGCGCTGAGAACCTGCCTGGTGCACCAGCTCATCCTCAGCCTCCATAGCTTCACCGGCGCCCATGGAGGACAAAACGCCAGTTAAACCGAGAGGGAATTCACACCCTCATGCTAACTTTCAAAATCATAGAAAAAGTAAGCATTCTAAGCTAACAAGAACTAAGGACTGTCGGAAACTAAAACACATCCCTACAGATTAAACATTTACCTGAACATTGGAAAACTTTCACAAATATCATTAACTTATCACAGCACGACAAATTACTACACTTTCAAAAATGATAACATAAGAAAGATTATATGATAGATTCACATTTTCTAAAAACTACATACAAACTTACCCATAATATATAAATCGTCTGATTATACTCAGCATTGAACACACTGTTCTCTTAATTATTCTGATGTGCAATAAAACAAGTGTAGATAGTACCATTTATATTAAGAACAAATTTACTGTTTAATAAAGAAATTCTAAAATTAAATACCAAAAAATCTAACTTTATCGTTACTTGTAATCAACTTTTACTGACTGAACTAATTACTGTCCTTGATAAAGTACAGAATGTGTTTTCCCTAATCTAAATTCTAATCACCATGTCACTCACAACAGACTTAGGGATGCTTCACTAACACACTATTCACATGCAAAATACTCTAAATAGGCCAATTATGACTCTGCCCCTGTTCCCTGGTTAACCCGCTGAGAACTGAAAAATTTCACAAGGCAGTCACCAACTAAAACAAAGGGTCCTTGTTTTAAATTAAGACAGTCTTTTTGATTCCTAAATAGCTCAACAAAGTGGCATGTCTTCTAGTGAAAGCAGTTGGTCAAATATGACCCATAAGCTGGAAAATCAAAAATTCAAAGCGCCCCTTTCTACCACCATATAGCTAGATATCATAAAGAGACCTCTCTCTATTGCAAGAGATTTTTGTGAGTGTTGGATGAGTAATATGTAAAGGACTAATCAGCTACTGACAAGGTTGCCTTCACTGCTTCCAGCCTGCAACTATTTCAAGGGACATATAAGAAACACTACTTTAAAATAAACTTCAAAGATGAGACTTTAAGGTTGAAAGCACACACTGAACAATAAACTCCTTGCTAGTATCTTTATATTTACATTATAAATACTTGATAGAAACTAGATTGTTTACCAGATGATGTCCACAAACTGGACTATTGCCTCTCTTGAGCTAAAGATTAAAATGCTACCCAATGACAAAATGAAAGGCAGAGCTCATTATAACAAAGTTTTCTATCAGTCAGGAATCAGAAAGTAGAACATTAAATAATTTTTTAAAGTTTAGAAATTGCATTCAAAAATTTTAGAATCTAAACCTGAAATTTCACTCTTGGCAAAATTTACTAACAAAATCTGTATTTATTTAAGTCATAATCCAAATTTTCTTTGAAATTTCCATCTATAAAGTTGTGAATGATCTGAAGTCACAAAGTCCTTACAGTTTGGTAAATCTACAAATGAATCTTCACATACTTAGGAAAATGAGTTTCAAAATGGTTTCTATTATTATTATCTTGCAGCACTTGATATTGAACTTAGGGCCTCATGCATTGAATTACATCCTCATCCTCCTGCAAATTACATTATCGATAACTTTATATTTACCGATAATACAGATACTGTGTTGACAAACATTGCTTCTATTTCTCCATTTTTGTCTTTTCTAAAAGTATACAAAATCCTCAGTAAAGGGCTGACCACATATGCTGAAATGCTATTTCTCTTTTTAACGAGCCTAACCATTGGTTAATTCTTGTTGATCTTGGTGGCAAATGTTTCATTCTCCAGAAAGTACATGCATTTAGTAGGGCAACCTAAAAACAAACATGCTTGTTACTCTGGATTTAAGCAGCATTCACAATAGAGCTGTGAAAAATATAAAATGATAAAAGGAAGGCAGCTAACTGGCTGTGGCTGACCTTACTGTTGTTAATTTAACAGAAAATCACTTCATGGGCCAGTCATAAATAAATCATGCATCCAACTCTTGCATATGCTGCCACATGAACTACGTAGAGTGACACAGTACAAAGACCAGATAGCACTTACACACTTAGTGGCTCATATTGATCCTTTTCTTTTTTTTTAAACAAACCACATTCCTGTTTCTTTTTAAACCTGCTTGTTCCTTTTTCTTTTTCACTTGGACAACAGAATCATTCTTCTAAAGCAACAAAAATAAACATTTTCTCACACTTAAGGGGGCCATAGTCACCTCCTTCAGGAAAATGAAGATAAAAATGTACGTATTCTTATTTTACAGTGTACTTGTAAAATGAACAATAACCATTTACTATTGTTTGGACTTTATGTCACATACTTAACACTGTAGCCATAAGAAAGATGAAAAAAATTTCCACTGGCTGAAAAACTTGACTTTCCATATTTGAAAAAGTTAACAGCATTTGATTTAAGATAAATTAGTCACAAAATGGAAAATATTTTCATTTATATGTAGATTTACATACATGCATATGTAATTCTGAGGACAAATTCAGGTTTAATGAAAGTTTAGTTAAAAAGCTAAGTCTTCTTTCAAAATAGACAAATACATCATTGCCTTAAATAAGGTTAAAAAGGTTTTAGGGCTTTTCACATTGTGCAACCTCAGGCACTGCGGTTATTCTGGGTCTCCAGAGTAAGCTGCCCGGGTCTGCCAGGAAACACTGGAAGCCAAGATGTGGCCTCTCACGGAGCTAACCTGTAAATCTTCAACCCATGGTGGAGCATTTTGCTTTAACTGTCTATGGTGCGACGAGACAAGCCCTTCCCCTTCCCCTTAATTTCATCCAAAGGGAAACAATTTCTAGATTTCAAATACCCTTAACCAAACAAGAAAATACACTGACTTTGTCAACCAGGTTTAAATGTCTTGGATCCCCTGCATCCAGTTCTCTACCAAAGAGCCAGTTCCAGCATAGCCACTCAAATACCACTGGAGTTTCAAAAAAAATTGTTTTACATCAGATCTGGGCCTCAGACTGTCCCTAACAGTCTCGACACTGTCCCTACTCCTTTTGAGAGATGCTTCTTCACATCCTTGATCAACCAGTAAACTTTGCTTATGCAACCAGGAATGCAAACCATGAATTAAACTTGAGAAAGAGAAAAGCAGTATATATCTCAAATTAGATTTATAACTGAATGGTTATCAAAAATAGAACTAGCTGCTTGAAGCTTAAATTATCAACTTTTTTTCTTGTTAAACTAAAATCATCTTGCTCTGAACTATTATTTCATTTCAGTCAGCTCTAAATGTACTGGGTGGGTGGTTCATTTCTAAAAAGGAAGATTATATTTACCCTTAATTATAGATATGAGTGAGATCAGAATACAATGAATGTGGCTTTTTGGACTTAAAATTAATTTATCTAATAGATGAATGACCTTGAATTTTAGAGTTGGGACCTGCGAGAGAGAAGAAAATAAGTGCAAGAGGAAAAAAATCTCCGGGAAAAAATGTGCCCCTGGTTTTTAGGGCTTTCTCTGATTTTGCGTCACTCCCATTACGTTGTGATCCGATATCAGACACAACATCTTGGGGGGATGTTGTAGAACAGAGAAAAGCAGTCTCAGATGAAACCAGATTAAGCTCCTTTTCTGAACTATTGCCAAATGCTTGTGAGTCTAATTCATGTTTGGGTATTCTAGTACTCACACAGCTGCAATTCTATTCTTTCATCACAAACCTAAGTGATGTATAGTGGCTTTGTATGGTGAACTGACTCTATAAAGCCAGAGATTTTTTTTTATGTTAATATGGAAATAAAATTCTGAACCACTTTAAAACTTATGAATGTTAGATATTTGTAAAGGTACCTAATAGACATTGCAGTGTTAAGTGCAAAATGTACATGGGCAGAAACTGCAACTTAGATTTGTTTAAAACTTTTAATCACAAATGAGGTCATTTCTACATAGCTAATTCTGCACGGAATCGTCTTTCAAAGACACTGCTGAATAAGATTCCTAACAGTCATGGGGAAGTTTTTGCAAATCCCTGTCGAATAGCTGCTGCTGAATTTGCCATTTTGACCACAGAAGGGCCATTGCTGACTTACTATAGTAGCAGGAGGGGGTAATAATTTTGCTGCTGTTGGCACTTACTCTGCAACCTAGAATATATCTTGCACCAAAGGGCAATGAAGAACACAATATTTCCACCTGTCCACTTATGAACTTCAAAGCTCAAAACTGAAGGTCAGTCTTTGGACAGTCTTTATTCCTGATCCCTAAAGGTCCAGAAAGACACTTTTATACTTTCCTTTGATTTAACTTTGATTAGTCCTCTGCCTGGTTTCAACAAAAGACTCGGGAAACTTAGACAAGATGGCAGAGGTACATTTCATAATCAGGGACTTAAGAGATTGTTACTGTGCTAAAGAGAAATGGAAATTTTTACAACTATCATTTAGCAAAGAGTTTCTCTTAAGGGCTTTTGGTCAATTTTTTTAAATTTCTAGTTAAATGTATAATGTTCATCATGTTCGGTCAGTAGTATAATACAAACACATTCAGAGGGAA